ATCGCTACTAGTAACAGGTGCCTTACTACTAGTAACAAGAAGCTAGTCGTAACAAGAATTAGTAATAGTTCACCCTTACCCGACACCTCGTTTGGCTCAACACAAGCTACACATGTGTTCCGTTCCTACACATGTCCTTGCTAGGCAGAACAACAGAGTGCTTGCAGAAAAGCATGATCTATTTTGGTTGCTACTGTGACCCCTTTGCCCCATTGTGTTTAGCTTCTGGGCACCACTGTCAAGTGCAGGAACCCAAACTTTCACCAAAAGCAGAATGTGTTGCACTGTGACAATGCAGTGTGTATGCACTTACCCGGAACTTTTTGCCAATGCTTGTTTGCTGATACAACCTAATGCATTACTGTATTCGTAATTGAACTCTTTCCAGTTGATGTGCTAAGGCTACAATGGCTGTTTATTTGCATATGGCCAGACTGGCTCGGGCAAGACCTTCACCATGCAAGGCAAATATGTTTGTTTTCTGTTTAGGTGTAGTAGACAATCGACAGAACATTTTTTCAGGCCAGCCCAGTGGTTGATTCAAAAACCATGGTAACCATGTTGATCTTGTGTCAACACTTTGGGCGCCATTGATATGCTTTGTGGTGTTGCCAGACCAAGTGCAGAGTCCTAGACCAAATGAATAGTGCGAGCGCTATCCTGCGTCCATGCTAGTAGCTTAAGTAGGCTACTAGCTACCTAGCTTCTACTAGTCACTTCCTAGCTACTACCTCTTAGCGGCCTACCAAAATCTTGCAGAGCAACATTTAGCGATTTAGATTCCATTTGCCAAGTCGGTTTTCAGGTGCAGGGGACCAGCGCGGGATCATCCCCACACTTTGCACAGAGCTTTTCAATGAGATTCAGGAGTGGCAGGGACGCTACTAGGAGCAAAGGGCATCGCTACTAGGAGCAAGGACGCTACTACGGGCTCCTGCCCCTACTACTAGGAATAAGGTTTGCTATCAGAAACAAGAATTCAATAGAATTAGAAGTAAAACTAATCTAAATTTAATTAGAATTTATTTCAATTTAATCAAGAAGCTACTGGGACCTTTTTCGCGCGCGCGGAGGGGGTAGGAGTACTAGGAGCAAAGGGCATCGCTACTAGGAGCAAGGACGCTACTAGGGGCTCCTGGCCCTACTACTAGGAACAAGTTTTGCTATTAGTAACAAGAAATTCGTTGCATGAAATTGTCTTTCCACTTGAGTGTTCACTTGGCGTTGTAAAACTCACGTGTGGTGAGGAGTCTGCAGAGAAGAAACACATTACAGTGGTTTGCAGCGTTCTCGAAATCTACAACGAGAAGGTGAAGGACCCAGATCTTAAGGGGGATGTGTGCAAACGGGCGCAAGGCCGTGCTGTGGAATTGTCAGGTTGACCGTTTTGATTGACAACGAGTGCTAAGCAAGTGCAGAAGAACCGCAGGTTGAAGGCAAGTTAAGCTGTTGTTTCAGCAAACCTTTCGATCGAAATTGCCAGGCGAAATCCAAAATCTAAGACGAGCTAAGCAGCATTTGGTACTAAAGTTTGTCATTTTCTGATGAGCAGCATTTGTCATTTTGGAGGCCATCGCCACTAGGTTGGAGGCCATCGCCATTGGGTTGGAGGCCATTGCTAGTAGGTTGGAGGCCATCGCTATGAGGTTGCATGCTATCGATCGCTCTTAGGTTGGAGGCCATCGAGCTAAGTAGCATTTGGCGCTGTCATTTTCTGATGAGCTTTTGGCTTTCTGTGCGTGCTGTGAGATGCCACCAGTGTCAAACAGGACTTGTCTGTGGATTCCAGTGATGACCTAACGATCCGTGAAGACAGCTCACAAGGAGACTAGCAGAGATTTACAAGGGTTCATTGTGTGACTATGTTGTTTGAAGCTACTAGTAACAAGAAGCTTTCTTGGGAATCGTTTCACTGGGAATCGTTTCACCTGTAGTAACAAGAAGCTACTAGTAGCTATTCTTTAAGTAAGAACAAAAAGCTACTAGGAACAGTCTTTGAAGCTACTAGGAGCAAGGACGCTACTAGTAGCAACATTTTCTCGTTTAGCATGTTGCGCAACTCATTGGCACCTTGTGTGTTGTTCTTTCATGTTAGAGACATGTGTCTGTCTATTTTGTGCTTTTAGAAGCTCAAAAGAACGAAATCATGTTATTTGAGTTTCATAATGTCTCTTGTTCTTCCAGTAATAATGTTTTCCAGAAAACTATTCCGAAAGTTTTGTCTCAAAGGTGGTCGGGGCATTCACGTCGAAGGATTGACAGAGGCCACCCGAAGATGTTTGCCTCAACTGCAGTTTTCTTTTGATTTGGACACCTCTCGATTGAAAGATTTGCCGTTGTGTTGTCTTTTGGATGCAAGTCCCCTAGCTTTCAGGTTGTGACAAGTATTCTTGCAGAGCTGGTTGCACAAGAGCCACGATAATGGCAGGTTCAAGTTCGAAGTTGCGAAGAGGTTTTGGACTGTATTGCCAAGGTGACTGCACAGACTGGGATTTTAAGTCGTAGGTTTCGGATGCAGACTCCGCTCAAAGAGGCTTTTCGAATGACCTGAAAGAGTAGTGCCGCCGTTCTGTTCGTTGTTGGGCTTTAGTAGACATCCGACTTTGGTTTTCAGGAAGCTGTTTGAACAGAAACAATAAGCTACTAGGAACAAGTGCATCGCTTCTAGTAACAAGTGCCTTACTAGTAGTAACAAGAAGCTAGTAATAACAAGTGCCACGCTAGTAGTAACAGTTGCCTTACTAGTACTAACAAGAAGCTATTAGAAAGGCTTTAGTAGACATCCGACTTTGGCAGGTTTTGAAGCTGTTTGAAGAGTGCTTTGGGGTTCAGAGCTGCTCGCTCCGTGCCTTTGGAGGCTCAGCAAAGAAGAGCTGTTGGTAAGACCAACATGAACGAACACAGCTCTCGCCACTCGTTATGCAGTAAACAAGAAGAGATTTGTTCATCGGCGGAATACTCAAGCAAAAAGAACCGTGTTTCCTTTCTTTTGAGTCCGTTTCTTCCATTTCCACAAAAGTTAAGTTTTGCGAAAATTCTAGGAACCACATGAACAAGGCGAGCGCTTTCCTACGTCCTACTAGATATACTTGTTAGCTACCATTCAGAATCGGTCTGAGGTTCCCACTCGGTGGTGACGCTCCGAGTGGGTGCTTGCGATTGTGACGATGTGGATGCAGCCACGTCTTTCAGCCTTTGGAAAATACGGTCGAGATGTCAATACCTTTCTGTTTCAAAACGAAAAAAACATAAATAAACCTGTGTGTTCCTTTTTTTCTTTCGTTCTTTTACCATCATTCTGTCATTTTTCTATCTCGCGTCTCTTGCAGCGATTTTGTTGCTTCTTTCACTTGTTATGCGCGCTCTTCTCTTGTTTCCGTGAGGCTGACGGTATCAAAGCTTCATCTCATTGATTTGGCCGGAAGTGAGCGGCAAAAGGCGACAGGCCGGTAGTGTTCAATCCCACCTAGTGCTGAGAAGTGAGCACCTTCTAGTGTCGTTCGAGACCTGCTTATTTTTTTCAATATTGAAAGGAAGACCTTTTCTCACCTCGGCCACAGCTGTGTGCATTTTCAGACCAAAGTAATGCCTAGTGGCCGTCTACTGGTTCCAAGCTTTGGATGAGCATTTTCCATATGATTTCTACAACTAGGAACAAGAACGCTACTAGGGGCTCCTGGCATCGCTACTAGGAGCAAGGACGCTTAACTGAACCGACCGTGCTCAACTCTCAGATCGTTTCAATCGATGTGTGGCTCAATGTATCGCCTTTGTCACGATGCCAGGTGCCACTGGGGATCGCTTGAAGGAAGGTGCGGAAGGATGGCCTCGAATCTAAGAAGCTACTAGGGGCTCCTGGCCTTACTACTAGTAACAAGGACGCTACTAGGGGCAAAAAGAGACGAAAAGAAAAGTTGTTGACTTGGGCCGTGAATAACGTCCCGGGAGGTGCTCAGATCAATTTGTCGCTGTCTGCATTGGGGAACGTTATCAATGCCCTCACTGAGAAGACTTCAGGAGGCTGGCTTGCTCGGTGAACATACTAATTCCGTACAATTGTCAGACCGTTCCAGTGTTTCTTGTTACTAGTAGCTTCTTGCTCTTAGTAGTAAGGCCAGGAGCCCCTAGTAGCGTCCTTGCTCGTTTCATGACAACTATGGATAGAAAGGGCAATGATACTTTTTCTGCGTCTTGTGGCCGGGGCACCATGCAGGATCCTAGCCAACAGCGAAAAGGAGAACACAGAGCTTCAATTCTTTTTACATGTGAATAAATAGACAAGGAGGCAGGTCCTCGGGCTTAAAAGATCAAATACAAAGTACAAGTGATACTTGTGAAGAGAAGCAAACTCACAGTCAGGAAGATTACGCCTACGGGCTACACGGAAAAGGAAGGGGCGGGTTGACAAATCTGATAGATCCACAAAGCCACTACACCTGCCCATTTCAATCTCCAAAGAAGTAATGTGCTTGGCACTTCCCGTGCAACTTCCAAATCCATCCCAGCACAGATCTGACCATGCATACAGAAGCGAGCAATAATTTGCACTGTGACTGTGCAAAATGAGTAAGTACAGTCGAATTGAAGCTATATTCGGTCGCATAGACCCCAGATAGCAAAAGGTATTTGTGCTGCAGCGGCACCAGCACTGAGGCTGCAAAGCGCACACAAACACCTCTTTCTATACTAGCGTGGCACTTGTTCCTACTAGTAAGGCACCTGTTACTAGAAGCGATGCACTTGTTCCTAGTAGCGTGGCACCTGTTACTACTTGAAGTCGGAACCCGAACTTGGGAAAAATGGCGGAAAAGAGTGATGGGACCCGAGGTCGTGTTTGGGTCGAGTCCCAATCTGGTGAACTTCTCTTTGAATCCAAGGAAGCACGGTTGAAATGCACTATCCGAGATGCTCTAGAGAATACAGCTCAACAGGGTAGAACCGAATCGCAAGAGAGGGTGCAGGTGCCAAGATGCCAATTTGTGAGCAGATAAACCATAAGTGTCCAGGTTGTAGGGTGAATGCCGCAACGCAAAGATAGGTACATGCAAGTTAGGTGTGCCCTGCATGAGATGCATCTTTATGTGGGTGCACTGCAGGTGGTCGGCATGTGCCCTACCGTGACTCCAAGCTCACACGCTTGTTGCAGGATTCACTTGGGGGAAACTCCTACACAGCACCTTGCTCCTAGTAGCGATGCCCTGTGTTCCTAATAGCTTCTTGTTACTAGTAGCGATGACCTCCAACCTACTTGCCATGGCCTCCACCTAATACCGTCATTGCTACTAGTACCTTGCAGGGGTTGCAGGGATAGATAGTCGGCTGACAAAGACAGATAAGACAATTTGTTCGAAAGAATCTGACTCGTTTGCCTTTTGGTGGGCGAAGGTTGGTGGAGGTGGGCAACCATTAAAATAGCTCGTTGCAAAAATGGCTACTGCTCTGCGCAAGGCAGTTTGAACTCGTGTTCATCCCTGCTTTGTTTCACACCATGTGCCAGAGATGTGCGGTGTAGATGTGCTCAGCAGCACCAGTGGCTAACCCACAACCCCACTCAACATTTTGTCCAGCGGGGGTTCCCTCTCCCTTGACACTGGTGAATGGTACTATCTCCCATCTTCATCGTCTCACAACTGTGTCCTAACGTCAATGGTCTCCAACCCAATAGCGATGGCCTCCAACCTACCTGCAAGATTCTCTTTGGTCATTGCAGGCGTCCATTTTGCTGAGGTCATTATTTGTAACGTCTCTCCAGCCAAGATCAACGCAGAAGAAACCTTGTCCAGTCTCAGATTTGCCGAGCGTGCCAAGAAGATTGAAAACAAGGTTTGGCTTGTCAGCAGGGTGCTTCTCATGCGTTATTTTTCCCGAAAAGATATTTTTATTCTGTTTCCAGTATTCTCTGAACCTCAGATGTGTTCCTTTGTTCTGTCTTCTTATTCTTTCTATTTCGATAGATAGACCGGTCTTTCTGTAACGACGCGGCCCAAACGAAGCGTCGCTGCGCAGGCCGTGGTGAATCGTGACCCTAAGGGCGAGCGGATTTTGGAGTTGCTCCAAGAGAACAAAGCGTTGCGCGCCAAAGTTGCCAGGTTGGAAGCTCACATTGATCGTCTCTTGGCTCTCTTTCGATTAGATTTTCACGAATGCATCATTTCTCGGCATTCGACCATTCGGACTTTAGTCCAACTATTTCTTTTCTGAATCCTGCGGAGCACATTTCTGTTAAACTACACCTACTAGCAATCGCCTCCAACCCAATAGCGATGATCACCACTCTAATAGCGATGGCCTCCAACCTAGTAGCAATGGCCTCCAACCCAATAGCGATGGATAGCGATGGCCTCCTACCTAGTAGTGATGGCCTCCAACCCAATAGCGATGGTCACCACTCTAATAGCAATGG